CACTTATCTTCTTGTTACACAAATCTGCCTCCCTTCCCCTTCCTTCTCCTATTCCTAGCTTCCTGTTTTCATTCACTCATAGTCTCTGCAGACTCAGATTCTAGGCTACCGAAGAGTTTCAGCATTTTTAGTGTCTCCATGTAAAGCAGTTTGTCCCTCTCCTTGATCATTCTAGTTGCCCTTTTCTGTACCTTTTGTAACTCCACTTTGTCCTTGAGTTGCAAAAAACCAGAACTGCACACAGTACCCTAAATGTGGGTGCACCAGTGTTTTATGTACAGGCAGGAAGGCACTCAGTGTCATGTTCTTACTGCCATTCCTGGTGATGCCCAGCAGCTTCTTGGCTTCCTTGACTTGCCCTGCGCATTGAGCTGCTTCAGGACTGATTGTGGAACTCCAAGATCTCTTTCCTGATTTGTAACTACAGGGTCTGAGTTCAGCACTGTGCAGGCATGGTTTAGATTATTTTTCCCTAGATAAATCACCTTACATTTGTCTACATTGAAGCTCTTCTGTCAACTTTTTGAGTACACACTTCTGTAAAGTCTTAATGTAGTTCCTCATTATCAGGGCAGCACTTTACCTGAAAGAGCTTAATAACATCCTCGCACTTGGAGATTTCACCACCTTCTCATTTCTCTGGGTCATTAGTGAAAATTTTGAATAAATTTGGTTCCAGCAGGGATCCCTAGAAAGGATCACTGATCCTAGTGCTGACTCTTCTCCAACTTTCAGTGCGTAAAAGCATCTTTCCTTAGTCCTGCAGAAACATAATTTCTTTAATAATCTTTGAAGTGGAACTTTCTACACCTCAGCTCCTGCTTGTAAGAAATTTTTACTTCCTAAGTAATAATAATTTAATAAGATATGCGCAAAATTATTTGGTTTTTGCTAAGCTTTTAACATGCCCAGTTTTGTGTGGGGATGCCAAGTGTCAAATCCATGACATGATGGTGTCCCTTTCATTGCCAAATATCTGATACTGGAGATTCTTGAGATCATCATTTACAACACAATTTTGTTAATCTTTGTAATTCTTACTGTGTGTCTTGGCCTAACTTAATCTCAGAACAGACTTGTACCGCATTTGCTGGATTTCGTATCAAAACATACATATCAGCCAGAGACTGGCTCAGAAAATTTCTGTCTGAACCCTCACAATTTAACAACATTATGTCTGCTGAAAATTGCTATCATTCTGCCCATAATTTCTGTTAGTAAGTTCACGTTATGAGAAAGCCTGCCTTCTGCTGGGAAGTGATGCAAAGGATTAAAGGTATGAAATTTTGAAAACATAATTTGGGAAGAAAGGTAGCTAATTTACAGTGATAGTGTGAGGTTTAATTAATTCAGATAAAGCATCATTCTTGAAAATTATTCTGGTCTAAGGGAGGTCCAGGAATCCTTACAAAGTCATCTGCTACTTGAATAGTTTTAGAAGGGCAGAGAGTTTAGAGGGGCAGAGAGTTTTAGAGGGTCTTTGTATTTGCTGGAATTGTAGAAAAATGGCCTTTCACAATCTGAGCAGGACAAATTAATTCACTTTTAGTCCGGCACGTAAAATCCTTCTTCATGTATCTACCAGGTAAAATACATAGGGAACCTTCCCCCTTCCCATTCCCCGACTTTGCCCACCCCAGAGCATAATTCTCTGATATAGTTTATGGTGGTAACTAGCCAAAGGAGCTAATCAGGGGGCTGTACGGAAACTGAGACTTGTTTAAATCAAGTCTTAACTCCTGTTTGGCCTCTTCTGGCAGGCCTCCACAAATGGCAAAGAAAGATTGCTCTGTGGCCTTGCTGAGCTTCGCCAGAAGCAATTGGCAGGATGCAGAGAGCAGATCCTCTGAGAGAAAATGATTAAGAGCAAACAATGGTAATTTGTGTTGCGAACAAAAATATTTAAAAGCTAGGAAGAAGTTAAAAAATTTTTAACTGTGCTTTTAGAAATACGGCAGGGATACTTAACTTTCTTTGCCGTTCTCCCTTCAACTTTAGGAATGATCTTGAGCCTTCTGAGATCAGTAGTTTCTGTTAATCTGCTCTTGCACTGCAAAAATACTTAGGTAACTGTAACTGTTTACTTTTAAAGATTTTGTTTTATTCTCAGTAACACTAGAATTGGTAAGATATTAAAGATCTGGTTGTTAAAACTTATTCTATACCTCTCTCTGTAACCAAGGACAACTAATCTTTCTGCTTTTCATCTAAACACCTAGCACATTCATGCCCAAAACTTCTCTCCAACGGGCGAACACTTCTGTGAGGAAGGAAATTTTTATGCTCCCAGTTTTACTTAGGGGAAAAAATGTCTCAGAAAAACTGATTATTTATTCAATAAGACAAAAGCATTCTATAGTAGGATTAGGAGCTAAAGCCAGAATTCCCTGAGTCTCAAAGTCCGCTATTGAACCAAAAGCCTTTCTTGAAAACATGAAGTGTGTTTACAATGATTCAGTGAAACCAGGACTCTGTAACAGTTGTGTACATTGTTACAGTTCACACATTTCCAGTAGCTTTACAGCTTTTATATTTCATCCTTTTTTTTGTGTTCATTTTCAAAATTGAACTGTGTAAGTTAATCTCTTTTTTTTTTTTTTTTTTTGCACAGTTGTTGCAGTCTAATTATTAAGGTTGAGACAAATTAGGGTCAGTGTAAGGAGTAAAATGTATGATACAGTATAGTATATTTCTAGCCCAGAAAAATTAAAAAGCCAGATTTATTATGTCAGCAGGTCCAGACTTCTGGGAGAAAGATGGGTAAACACTGAGGTAAGGTGCTTTAAAAGCTACTTAAATAACTGAAAATTGCTATTGGGAAAATACAAAAGCAGGATTGGGGGTCTGTTTCATTCTGCTCAGCTACCTTACTGAAAAGGTGGAAGAGATTTCTTGGTGTCAAAAACTAGCTACGTATGCTTAATTTGAAATTCCTAGTTACTTGCAGAATTTGAAGGTCAAATCTACATTTCTCAGAGGAGATCAAGTCATCTAATCAGTAGAAGAGCAGAACTGACTGCGTTAACCTTGGATGTATTTGCCTTAGAGGATTTCAAGCAGATTGACTAAACTTTAATGACATGTATGACTTCATTATGTCTTTGGAGAATAGTGCTATTTTATAGTCTTTGTGTTTATTTGTTGCCCAAAAAAATAAGCACAAAGGGATTTGTTTTGTGCTAGAGAAAATGTGTACTTCTGGAAAGTAAAGAAGGTCTTTTGGTAGCAGACTTTGTGTTCCTCCTGAGTAAATATTGCATTCATGTGTGGATAAAGAATTACTTTTGTTGGAACATTTTGTATGAAGACAGAAAAATAATGTATGGATAGATACTTTTGAGCTTGTAGATAACTAATGTTCTAATCTGAAGGCCAATTTTAACATAAGGTTTCATTCAGTGCATGAGGTAACTAGCAATACCATTTCTTAGAAGAGATGCCGATTCACTGTTATGGCATTTACTGGCATAAACTGACCGGTGTTTAGACATGTGAGTAGGTGTCCTGATTTCTTAGAAACACTGAGGCCCAAGTGAAAGGAGTTATGCATAATGAGCACCTTGAGAATCAGGATATTTTTGTTCAGGTGCCTAAAAATCAGTTTGCAAATAATATGTGAGACAAATTTCAAGGTGTTGGTCTTCTATAGGTTTTCTGTTTTTACAGATACTTTTCTTTTTCTTACAGGTTTTCTATTTATACACTTTTTTTATCTTCTGACCTAATGAGTTTATATTCCATATTTGCTTGCTGAACAGTATCTCTCGTCTTTATTTCCCTTTTCCCTTTTCATGAGTTTTGTCATCAGTTGAGAGAAAAAGTTGAGACACACAGATGTTGGCTTTGTCAAAGTGAGTATGTGTATGCTGTGTGTATGTGTATTTCAGCCCTTTCTATGTTGATCTCATTGTTGAGGTATGTGAAATGAGATGGGAGAGAGATGGGTTGAGATACAGGACCAGCTGAAAAGAGTGAGGTTAGAAAAGGAAAGACACATGTATGAACTGTAGATAGTAGTTGAAGCTATGCGAGTGGTTGAGGTCACTCACTGATAAAAGTATAGTGACAAAATAAAAGATATGAATTGTCTGTATGACACAGAAATGATAAATTAGTAGAGTTCCATAAATATAGTCCGTGAAAGGTTTGGGGGGTTTTCCAGGCTACCTCGAAAGGATCTATCATTGTTTGCATACTAATGAAGCAGCCTAAAAGGAGACAGTGATTAAAGCTTTACATTAAATGGCTTATATATTTTGAATATATAAAACACAGATAACCTGAAAAAGGAAAAAATCTTTTTTAATAAGTATGTTCCAGTATTTGTAGTTGCAGAAAGGAAAAAAGGATAATTGAATGAATCGGTCAACACAGTAAAAAATGTTCACTGTAGCTCAGCTGTTCGATATTTTCCACAATTAGTTTCTAAGCAAGTGTAGTTTTGGATTATAAGCTTTTTTGTTATTATTTTTCCCCTCGTTCTTTTTTTTATTGTAATGAGCACAAAATATGTACTTTAAATGAGATTGCCATACAATGCACAAATCTATGCTAAAAGAGAGATGTGCCATAGACTCCATGAAGTCCATTAAGGATTTAGATCCTGAAAGAGTCAGATGAAAAAGTAAGAGTGGTTGGGGAGACATTTGTAGATTTAGATACATGTTTCTTAAAAACATCAGAAGACCAAGTGATGTAGTAGAATGCCTAACGCTGTTAGGCGCCTACACGTTCTGTACAATGAATGAAAACAGACCTTTAAGGACAGGATTTACAACACATAACAAGCTTAAGCAGCAGAATACTTAGAACACCTAAGTGATCTGGATGGCTACATGGAGATGAAAGCGTCTCTCCTTTAGACACAGGTACCTTGTTCAGGGCAGGAGCTAGTATGTTGTGCTATATGCAGTTCCTGTGAGTGTCACTTCCATGTCTCCAGTGAGCAGTCCAAGAGCCTGAACTGAGACACTGCATTTGTTTATTTGGGTGTAGACCCTTGTCTTCCTCTTCTCTTCAAAAAGAGTAGGGGTGGCAGGAGGAAACCAAGCAAAAAGTAACATTTTTGCTTTTTGGTGGCTGGGGCATGCAGCTAGGTGTTGGCAGTGGTACTGCTCTCAAGATACTGAGGACTGCATTTTACATTAGGCAGCATGGGAGCAGATACTAGAAATAACCCAGGGAGCTAAGGGAGAAGCTCAAAACTTTTTCCCCTCCCAGTTGAATGCCCTGCTGTTGGAGCTGCAAAATCATGCTCTGGATTTTTGGCTTTCGTTTGCAGCCCGTTGCTCCAGCTGCACAGTGATCCAGCTTCAGCAGAAGACGTCAGAGTGGCCCCCTACATTTTCCTTAGTAGGAATGCAAGCTACCCAAGAATAACTGAACTTTTTTTCTCTTAGTTACTGGAAGAA